ACCGTATCTGAAATTTTAATAATCCTTGACATCATCCACAACTGATGTTTAGTCTCTTCCGTATAAACCGTATACGCTATTCAACAAACCATCTATAGTTCATTCAGAAACCATCATTATAATGAAATAAAATACAATATGTTTTTAATATCAGGCAATCATTAATGAGAAGTTCAAAAGAATAAAATGGGATTTACGGAGGAAAAATGGGTACTTATATGTGAAAAGCGTAATGATCAACCATGTTCATTTTTAATTCCAAGGTAATACAGAAATAGGATGAAATTTGTCGTCGAAGCAATGGTTCAATATTAACATCACATTGCGAAAACTCAACACAGTATTTCATAATGATATAGAGCCGTGCACACATATATCTAACGTGTGAGTGAACAAATAAAATATATTGAAGGACAGATATTGAAAATATTGTAATACTGAATGTCTTTGAGAAATGTATTCCATTTGTACATGAAGAACGTTTTTAACAGAGATTTTTGTAAGATTACGAGGATGGTGTAGAAGTATAAGTGGGCAATTTAAACAACAAATAATGATAAAAATTAGAGCGACAAAACCATGTTCCATTTTCATAAGAAATCTCTTAAAGCTGAGTCGATTGTAGGATTGTGACTATACTATGAGCAAGTGTTTATGTCTATCAAAGAGTGATGGCATGCTCTCTCTCTCTCTCTCTCTCTCTCTCTCTCTCTCTCTCTCTCTCTCTCTCTCTCTCTCTCTCTCTCTCAGTGAAAAGAAAAAAATCGCCATTGCTATAGAGATTCTTGTAGATACAGCTGGTCATCTAATCATTGGAATATTGTCTCACGAATTAAAGCAGACAGATGTATATTTGCTGAAATCGACTGCTCCCATTAATGTGTATCCTCTCATTTGTCGAAACCAAGTGTGTCCGTCCCTTGGTACCAACTGTTTCTCCAAAGTATTTCCTATGAAAAGCTGTATTGATGAAATATGACCCCGATGTTATAATGTTACAAGATTTAACATGGAAATGCAATATGTGTAATACTAAGTTATGATGCTTCAGTCTCAAATAATTTCCAGTCTCAAATAATTTCCAGTTATCGAGGATAAAAGCAGTCACCACTTATAAGTATAACATTAAATATACTACTTTCATGTGAAATAAAAATAGAAATATCCACCACAAATCTGAATATTATTTTAAGGTGCAAGTCTGATTATTGACATTGGCATTGGCAGCGATATTTAGTCAAAAATTAATAAAGAAATATATTGCCAATATCTACGTATTACTATGGTCAACATTTTGAAATGCTTATTATCATTATGATACTTGAGGAATAATTCAAAAATTAATACATAAATATATTGCAAATATATACTTATTACTTGGGTTCAACAGTATGTAAGGCTAAATATTATTCAACAATTCAAAAGCATACCGTAATATATCATCGCAACATTTAGATTCTTGCTACCAAACTAAGAAAGTTTGTAGAAAAAAATCGCAATGCTCTATTCATTCAAGACACTTAAAACCCCCGTTAATTTCTATGTAAGGGAGTTTATTGCGGCCAGAAATGACACATCACCATTACCGGACCCTGTTTTACGTTCCCTCGCCCACTTCACGGCATGCACGTGCACGTTGTGGTCGACAGATGGCCCCTCAAGCGGCGGTCAGCCAAGCGAGGTTGAGCGACACGGACTTGTAGCTAAGTCCTTGATTAATTTTCTATTCTGTTTAATAATTACAGTTATTATGATATCAGTAAACCATAACAGTGTTTAGAGAACTTGTCTCCCATGTGTCTGGTGGATTAAATAGTGCTACACGCATACAGATGAAGACAGGGATGAGAATGAACTCCCTCACACAGATGGTCGTATGTTTTCATCTAACGGAGAGTGCTGCCTACTGAAAATTAAACTACCCAGTTGTCTTTTTCACTATTTGAATTGATATTAGATGAGATTAAATTGATTAAATTTCTTTACAAATTCGAAATAATTGTTTATTCGTTAGTTAATGTAAGCAATAACATGTTTTGATATAAAACGTTCATTGAATTTGCACTCAGATGCAGTAACAGATAGTTTTGCCATAAGATTCAAACACCTATAAATATTGACATAAGGATTCAATTATTATTCAAAAGCCTAATGTAGCATTTTTACGCAATGAAAGTGTAATGCCTGCATGTTTGTTAATATCCTCATTTTGAGGGTATTCGACAACAAGTCTTTAAATGATTTGTAATATTTCTGAATTTTTGAAACCATTACGAAAACTAGGAACTGATTCATGTTGATTGTTTTAGTAAGTGAATTTTTGCAAAATATAATTTGAACTCCACTTTTTCAATTCAGAAAAATCCAAATTTGCTCATATTTCCTGGTGGGGAAAGGAGTTTTGTTCAGATTGTGTTTTAGTTTGGACTTAAGACAACGTCAGTAATACGAGTTTAATGAAGAGAGCGGCTTCACTGTACTTTTGTCATGTTAATACGCGGCCGAAATGACACATTATCGTAGTATCATATCGTAGGACACAATCGCTTCACTATAGAGCTATAATATACATATATTCAATAGTTCAAGGAACGGAACTTTGATTGTTATTGACATATTTGTGAAAATATATTTCAATGAACCAGAGACAAATACATGACAATAAGATATTTGTCGTGTACTTTTATGAATATATATTTGCCGTACAAATTTATTATACATATTATTTTACAAATATTCAGGTCGATATCCTCCAAACCGAGTATGTACTCTGGATTGTGTTTGGTATTATATGCGATTGTGATTGATATGAAAGCGCATCGAATTTATTTCACAAACGTTTGGTTATGTCCTTCTGGTTTGTCCTTGTGAGATTACCTGGGTATTTAAATCACGATGTTAAATATACCAATTAGCAATAGTGGTGATTAATGTTTTAAAAGTATAATTATATGCAGCAATTAAACAAGTGAGTCTTAGTCCTCAGACAAAAGATTTGATAGTGTAGATGCTACTATTTTATTTTTAGATATCTTATTGGTTTGAAATTGTAATGTTATTTTGAACCGCACCTTTTAACAGATTTCATAAACTTGACGAGAAGAAACTGAATATTTCTGAAAATGGTGTCATATGACAGGTCAAATATATACAACAATATATCTCTATTCTTATGTATGACCGTAAGGTTATGTTCTTTTTCGATACTGTAAAAAACAGTAATGAAATTCTAATTAAATCCCTCGTGTGTGCCTCGTCGGCTAAAGCAAGGTCAAACAAGCCCGAGTTCTCAAGACCTATATTTTATTTACCTAGTCTCTCTCCCCAACAACGCGATCGTTTCCTTGTAACTTACACCACTGACGAGTAAAAATATCCCAGATTGTAATTTAATTTTACCCCAATAACTGACGAATGCAATTATTCAATTTAACCGCGTAATTGAACAATGTTCTGTGTTCTTATATGTTTATAGTAGTCAGTGAGTCAATGATAAACACTTGATGTAAACATAGTGTTTTTATTACATAATAATAATTATCATACAAAATTTACAAATTCAAACGATGGTTGAACAGAAAAAGAAAAAGTCGTTACGACTTTAAAAGAACTGTTGATTTTATTAATAGAAGAATTGAAAGAATTCGTCCGAATATATGCAATATCTATCATATTACACACTTCCTGATTGACACAGATTCCTCGCCGAGAGTAAACAATAGCAATAATATAGAAAAAGAATAACTGTAAATTCATTATTTGAAAGTTGTACAATATATGGTAATCGGATACCCTGTGAATGTTTCGTAATGTAAGTTAGAATTTCATTTGTTGATTTCTGTAAAAGATCGAGACAACTAAACCTGGCATTCCGAGGTGCGAGGGTCCGAAGACCAGTTCAGATACTGTATGATACCGTTATATATCGGTGTCGTACTGAGCGATATAATACCTCACTGAATGTGACATTATTCATAAATCTGGAATAAATGAAGATTATCAATCACTTTGAAGGAAAGAATGTTAAAATTTAAAGTTAAATTAAAACATTTAGTCAGTAAATTAAACGGAAATTTGGTATTACTGGTAATACACAGATTACAAGCAATTGTAATTCACGTCTGTAGTATGTTAATATGCGATGAAATATAAGACTGAACGTGTTGTACTGTCGAAGAAAAGCTGCAGGAGAATGTAATGTTTTCAAAATCATAACTTTAAAGTTTTTTAGAGAGTTAGCAGTAGTTTGACGTTGATATTGAACGTTGTTGACGTTAATAAATTGCAATAACACTGATGTTGATAGATGCATGGTAAATTGTCCCCCAATTATTGTATGCCCCCATGCTTGTCTTCTCCCCTCGACTGCCCCCCTCGTTACTGCCCGACGACGCACAGGTAAATCACGGGCGAAATAAAGCACTTAACTTTACCCGTTATTCAATAATACTCAAATCAAATTTCATTTAGTTTAAAGCACTCTTTTAGTCCGTTATTTGGTTATATTGTCTTATTTGATTGTCGACTTTCTGCCTGTCCGTACCCACTACTATCAACTCTGCGTAATGAAATTCCGGCTTGTAAATTGAGGAAAATACGATAAAATGGATATGAGATAAGGACAGCGGGAAAATTAGCAATTGGATTATTGCGACAAAGCCAGTGCGCCCGGTGTTTTGTCACATATGCTGGTTACCCGTCATCCGCCACCGACGCTAAATGCTGCAAATTGTTCACAATCGGAATATTTATCTAATTTTCTGACAATTTTCTTGTTTATATTAATTTTGTTCGGTAAATAAATAGAAAAATTTCGACCGCGGCGAAAATTATGCAAACTCTGTATCTCTACATTTGGTAATCCAATTTGGCCTCAATCAGTTGCACTAAGTAGACGACGGTAACCCAGTTAGGGCCACCTAAAACAATTTTCCTCGCCCAAATCTTATTTTCACCGGAATCGCTTTCTCAATATAAACTGAACAAGGCGTTTTACTTACCAGAAGGGAAGACAGGCGGCTGAGGGTGCTCACGGGGCCGGGGGACCATAGAACAGCTTCCTGACCCCCCAAGGCTCGGGTTGGTGACGGTGGGGAAGGTCCGCACCCCATTGTAGCGGTACCCCTGTCCAGGGATCTGAGCGAAGGGGCCCGAGTCCCCATAGGAACACGGTATGTTGCAGTTCTGTAGAGAGGCGTCCATTCCGGGTAGGCCACAGTTAGCAGCGTCGAAGCTTGGTTGGTTGAGGTACGGGTAGTCCATCTTGGAGAAAGGCTGACCACCAACTGGACACAAGCCCAGCGCTGACAATAATTATTAGGGAATATGAAATTTTTATGTAGAAGAATATTGTTGATTTCTCGTGTGTGTCAGGCGGCTCTCGAGTCCTGTTTCATAAGATTAAATTAGAAGTCGGCTGTCGGGCAAAAAGAATGCTCGGCTAAATTCTATCTGTCGGCTATCTAATTTGTGTACGTCTTGGATAAATGATCATCAAGTTTAGAAAGTGAGAAATTTACTAAGTACCGTGCGCTTATGTATGCGCGCCTAATTAAATTATAATGTGCTTCAGATATGAAATAGCCTTGGTAGAAGCGAATGCCTATTCGCGCAGAGGCAGTGACGTAGCCAAACGGGGCGACTTGAAACCGCCCACCGTTTCCATGTCCCCCTCCCCTCGCGCTGCCATACGCCGCACGCGGAGTTAGGGGATGGGACCGAAGTCAAGAAATGACAGAAAAAATGTTAATATGAAACAGAAGAGTGCATTCGTTCCACTTTCATTGTGCGGCAAGAAAGACAAAGAAAGTGTTTGGCGAGGAAGCATGAGGCCGAGGGTCTGGAGGGATTGGGGTAACCAATGTCCCCCTCCCGATGCAAACATGATGAAATGATAACAGCGGCTGATATTGTGATGATTGCTTGCATTCAGAGTCAAGAGGCCTCGCCAAGACCCATATGGGACTCTGCTCCCTGGCAGAACTCACAAGAACACATCTCATAATGAAGATAGTTTTTCATTCATCATAATTCATAGTCCTTGTAGTCTGCTATTTTTCTTTAATTATTTCACTTCATGGAAAAGTTACGCATGCTGTAGATTCTGGCAACACGGTTTAAATGTCATGATGGAAATTTGGATAAATTTTCTGTTTTAGGAATTTTGAATTTAGCTTCGTAACTCTTTTGATTGTATTAATCAAGAGAACGTTATATTGAAATGACGAAATTAAAAAAAATTAAATTAAAAATCTGAATCCAGAACTACTAAGAAAAGATGGATCATTGTCATCATAACAAATCGATTTTCTATTTAAGTTATACTTTATGATCATGAATTATGTTTTATATTCTCCTTACACATAAACTTGATACACTTTTTAGTTATTTTTGATGCAAAGGATACACACTGCATGTATCGTTGATTAAAGAATAAAACCGAGAATGTTGTTTTTATCTATGTCACATTATAAACACATTATAGCCCAGCTGTACAATCAGGCACCTCTTAGACAAATAATTTGACAAAACAAACAATTTTTAAGCATAACTTCATTTTAGTTTTTCAGTTTACATTACACACCACTGACAAAAGTGTGTCACTTGATCCCTGAGCCAGACAATATTCACACGAGCAAGACCGAGTCACTCGTGTTGTTCGGAACACGTACACGAAAAAGCGTAAGGAAGTTTGCAAAACAACAAACTGACTATTTTCGTACTCTCAAACCTCACAACTCTCACAAAATATTAGCTATCTTTATTAAATTACCAGTTTTGAATTTGTGAAATATGATATTTTTCACCTGTGCCTGGTATAAAGTACACCTGTGAAAATTCGCCAAGGTGTGGAAATCCCAACAATTTCTTGCTTAAACGTTAATACCTGTAACATGATTATCAATTTATAACACATCACAAATGGTCCAAACGATTTAAAATGAAAGCAAGGGGAGAAGACATAAAAATAAATAATAAAATTATTTGATTATGGATGAAGCCACAGTGCTTCCACCAAACACAATCACTGGGTAAGGACGAATCTACGAGGCTATTTTAGCAGTATATGATTAGAAATATTTCAAACTTATACCAAACATGGGATATTATTTGCCTCGCCTTCATATTGCAACCAGTATTGCAACCAGTTATCACCTATTAATTTATATGTTTATAACCACGTAGATGTAAAATATACAGCATGAATTTCAAACGTCAATGCTAAAGAATGCCAAGTTTTGACCATCATCAGAAATAGATTCCATTTGGTGTTGGGGGCAAAATATGAAAAAAAATTCATATAAATGGACCACTGAAAATCAGATATGACATAAGGTATTAATTACAGTACTTATTCTTTTCTATCGCTTATAACACCTGACTTCATTAATTATATTCCATTAATTTGTTTAAACCATAAAACACGACAAATCATGTGTATACACACACATTTATGTAGACATCACCAAAGTTATATTTTAATTTTGTGTAGGTCTGAAATTCAAACACTGCACATAAGAAAGATGTCCCCTTAAACCTAAATATATCCCATTTATATGTTTAAGCTACGAAAACGCGACAAAACCATACACACACATCCCCACTCACGTTCATATCATGAAAAATAATGTTTGAAAAAGTGTGAAAAAGTGAAATTCAAAATCTAAATATCAGCGTGACATAATTCACGGCAAAACCTAAAATTCATCCCATTCATATGTTTTAGTCAAGAAAACTCGACGAAACATATGCATGCATCCTAATCCACATTGATATAATGAAAATTGATGTTTGAAATTTGTGAGAAGTGAGAAATTCAAACACTGCACATTAACGGGACATTACATTACAAACCGGATGAACCTCGCTCAGCTGTGATTGTAGGAAGCAGCCCGATGTGATCAGCTTTAACACTGCACTGAGATACGTCAACAATACATTAATATTGTCGTTTGTTTGTCCTCGAGGATAAACGGCAACTCGTTACTATACTATAATCTTGTAGCAGGGAACAGGTCAAACAATTACATGAAAATAATAAAGTGGGGATTTTCAAATGATTAACAGAAGCGATAGAGAAATCAATTACAACGTTCATTGAGAGTAGTGTTGCAGCGACCATCTCGCCGCCTCTTTGCGCGGGGCCATCTGGCGACTGCTGGGCACTTCTGAAGACGGAGATGAGGATGGTTGGGTCTGGTGCACAACGCGTGCTCGTGTGTTGGTGTGTGTGTGAGTGAGTGTATGTGCGTGTGTGCTTGCGTTGGAGTGCGTGGTTGTGCATGTTGGTGCGTTGGTGTTTGCGCGTGGTGCTGGGATGTGGGTGGTAGCTACTGTCTTGGAAGTCTTGTAGTTTCAAACTTATATATAGAGAACGACTATGTGTTCAATATCTTAAGGAGACACTTAGAGCAACCTTATCATGGCTTTCATTAATCACCGGATTGTCTGGTCCAGTCTACAGACCGCCTTCATATAGCTGGAATATTGCTGAGTGCGGCGTTAAACAACAAACAAACAAACAAACAAACACCACTTAAATTGATTCATGTTAAAGTGGCGTCATTGGTAGGCCCTCTTATCATGGGAAGAAAACTTAATGTTTCGTATCTGTTGTGCTTAATGAGATATGGCACCACGAGAACAATTGGTGTGATAGTTATACTAGGCACACGTGTTGTCTATGGTGAGACGAAACCAATATTGCCCCTTAATATCTTAAAACGGCAGGACAATGTTGCAATGGCGACAAAGGTGCACTGTATCGGGGTTGCGAAGAGACTGCAACAGAGCCAGACATTTTTCATAAACATAAGTTTCAAACATCAGACTATTTTTGGAAACAAACTCGGACTTTACATCGACAGGCAAAAGCTTTACCCTGTAGGCAGCGTTATGAACGATAGAAGGGGATAGGGCCGTGTAATACAACACTTGAATAAGACAGAGAGAAACACGTTATGTTTTCGAAAATCAGGAAAACTGAAGAAAAATACGCTTTACGCTTGATGATTAACAAGTTGTAAGGCCAATGAGGAATATAATTGTATCACATATTTGGCACGGTAGCCATAACAATAAAGCTTAAACTCCAAGAGAATGACAAATTACCATCGGTGTGAGTTCATTCCCAACTCCGTGGGGAGTATACGTTTTGTATAGTTGATCATGTAGGTTGACGGTAAGACCTGTTTAGCAATATACAACCATACCGAGGCGGGGTATTACAAGATGGGCTTGAAGACACTGTGTCCAATTTGTTAATCGAACCCTGGTCTTTGGCGCGACGAGCTAACGATTTAACCGGCGGGCTAACGAAACCTAAAAGGTCCCATCTATTTAAATGTTTAACTAAATGTCTGTGATATTTGAATAGTGACGTGAAACGGAAACCCATTCGCTCAACAAAAATGGACTACAGCCTATGTGGTGTAGTGGAAACTACGTTTATGAAGAAACAAGCATATAACGAACTGACGGAAATAACGAACGGCTTTCAGTCTAAGTAAACTTAGACTCAGTATTATTCGTTACACTGCTATAGTATAGTAGAATATAGTATAGTATAGTATAGCAGTGTAACGAATAATACTGAGCCTAAGTTTACTTAGACTGGAACTGGTTTTGGTCCCAACCTCTTGCTGTACGTTTTAGTCGAAATGCATTCAACTATGGCTGTAACGAACTAAACCTGGCGATCCCTTTGATTTCGTCATGACCGTAGCTTACTATACATAAGCATTTATACCATACATATTCCAATAAAGAGTCGTGGATATCACATTTCCCATTGACTGATCCTGTTCTAGAAGTGAACAAAACCGCTAGACGACAGCCAAGTAACAAATTGATATGCAAAATCATGTGACGCAAAAGTCAATTAAATTAAATATACATTTCAAGTGCGGAATAAGTCTGGTTTTGACCAATACGTCTCGCTTGTCTCAAAAAAGCCATACTTTAACACCACGCTTTAAAAGCACAATTAAACTTGATGAATTTTCCCATTATTTCAAGTATCGATGAAGATATTTGCCTAGATTTTAGAAAATCACTTTACTAATTCATCTCTCGTCAACACCATTGAAAGGAGAATTTGAAGAGAATTCCGTCAGTAATTCCCAACCGTTGTAGGCGAGTCTGTGTCAAGTGACAGTGTATACTGTAATGTTTGTAAAACTATCGATTTTACGGCCCCGTGAGATGTAAACCAACTTTCTTTCTGACTTTATAAGTTTACCTCGACATTGGGACCAGTTGTATGAATGGACGTGTGTACACCATAACAGACATCAGTCTAGTATTAGGTGTCAAAATGGCTTCTATAATACACGATAAGGGCGTTGCCAATGCTTAATGACATAGCTTTTGTAAGTTTTGTAACGGCAGGTGCTACCGGAAGGTCAGGACAAGCTTATCCTTTTCCCATACCTGCTATTGACAGGTGTTGTTTATTTGTCAATGACTCGTTCCATGGTTTGCA